TAATGGTGAAGTGAACTGCCCAGAGATTAAACCAAACAGACACTGTTGTAGTGTTGAAGATATTATTTACAATAAAGTCCATATATACAGGGGTAAATACAGCTTCTCTTGGTCCTTATACAGTCCTGGTCATTCACAGTGGTTCCTCAGTTAGCAATGGTAAATTTACAATTTCAGTAACCAAATATTGTTACCAATATAAATAGTTCTGCATCCACGAAGTCTTCTCCTCTCACCACAGAGATAGTCTTCTCCCAGGATCTTCTCCTTGCAATATGGCAAGTCTTCATCCAACGATGCAGAATATACAGCTCTCAGCAACACGATCACCAGCAACACAACAACCAACCAACCACCCAAACTATCCAACTACCCAAACTACCCAACAATTTGTCTCTGTAAGCTTGGCTAGCTTTTCCAATCACATTGGTTGTCACACAGCTGTCTCCATTAACTCAGCTGTGCTCCTTTGTAACATGTTGCTCTCTAAATCCTGATCCTGTTACAACTTATTCACTGAATTGCAATGAACAATTCTTTAGGTTGACTTTGAGACCTGTCACCCCCCAACCAGTCCTCAGTCCTAAAAAGTTTGGGGACCGCTGCACTAGAGCACCTAGAAGACAGACAGACAGACAGACAGACACACACACACACACACACAGAGAATATATATAAGGAGGAAATTGGCCAGCCCTTGTTTGTAGCTTGTTAAGGTGGCTCTGCTGTAGCCATGCCTCCTACACATCTGGATAGCTGCAGCAAAGCTGCCTGAACAATGTTCTAACAAGTGCTAGTTGGCAATTTCTCTCTCTCTCTCTCTCTCCACTGACTCCTGTGTGATTGTCTAAAGCAAATTCACCCAAGAAACCCAAATGTGAAGATGCTCATTCACAATCTATCAACTTCACATTTCTGGTGCTGTATATTCACACCCTCAGTGTATGTTTTCACATTCAGGCAGTAATTTTATCTCCTCTTTTCCATAATTTTAGTTATGCCAAGCAGAGTCAGCACACATATAGTTTGGGGTGTGTGTGCACTGAACTTTCATTTGCTTAGCATCATCTTCCCATACACAAAGAGACATTTACGCCCCTGTAGGCTGGGATCCGGGCCCGGTGGTTTCGTTTTCTGTTCCGTCTTCTTTTCTGACTCTTGGCTTGCCCAGCGTAGGAGGGTTCAGAACCGAAGCAGTGCCTGATGGGCTGGAACTCTGGAAAGAATCACTGCCGGTCGACCTACAGTAGATGAAGAAAACAACGGCTCTGAGGATTCCCGGGTGTCTCCGTTGCTCATACTTTGGATGGAGCATCGAGGGCAAACCCTAGAACGATGGAAGCTTCTAGAACAGATGCTTCAGATAATTCACTGACCTGTTCTTCATCTGTTTCATTAAAGCCAAAAAGCCTTCTCGTGTTGGGGTGGGCTACATGTAAAGGAAGGACGAGGATTGTGTGGAGAATCTCAAAAGGACAATCTACCTTGGAAAATTGGAGGTCTTCAGCCTGCTAAAGGATTCACTGGCCTGGAACGAGGATCGGCAGCACATGGCATTCATCATCAAAGGGTGCAGGTTAACCAGGCTGCAGAGATACAAAGAGAGGACGGGTTAGACCCAGAACATCAGTTTTTACGTCGACACAAAGACAGCCACAGGATGGTGTTAGACTTGGA